CTTAGACCGCTGTTGTTGCTTTTTGTAATTTCTTCAGGTTTGTTTTCCCTTTGATAGGATTAGGGTTAAAGTTTACAATATTATGTAGACTTTAAATAGGTAGGATTGGTGATGGTTTGTTTTCTTTGTAAATATATTATGTAAGTGAATAAGCAATTACGTGTGATTTTTCTTTATTCTTTCGAATATAGTACAATTAATTTATTGAGTAAACGAGTTGAAGTTGAATTAAGTTCTGAAGAACACTGACATCATGAATTAAAGAAATATTCTATTACATAAAAATACTTATATATTCTATTACATAAAAATACTTATATATTCTATTACATAAAAATACTTATATATTCTATTACATAAAATACTTATATATTATCTCACATAAAATACTTATATTTTCTATTACATAAAAATACTTATATATTCTATTACATAAAAATACTTATATATTCTATTACATAAAAATACTTATATATTCTATTACATAAAAATACTTATATATTCTATTACATAAAAATACTTATATATTCTATTACATAAAAATACTTATATATTCTATTACATAAAAATACTTATATATTCTATTACATAAAATACTTATATATTATCTCACATAAAATACTTATATATTCTATTACATAAAAATACTTATATATTCTATTACATAAAAATACTTATATATTCTATTACATAAAATACTTATATATTATCTCACATAAAATACTTATATTTTCTATTACATAAAAATACTTATATATTCTATTACATAAAAATACTTATATATTCTATTACATAAAATACTTATATATTATCTCACATAAAATACTTATATTTTCTATTACATAAAAATACTTATATATTCTATTACATAAAAATACTTATATATTCTATTACATAAAATACTTATATATTCTCTCACATAAAATACTTATATTTTCTATTACATGAAAATACTTATATATTCTATTACATAAAAATACTTATATATTCTATTACATGAAAATACCTATCAAGTGACCATAAGATGCTTAATCTACTGTTTTAAATAACTAAAATCATAATGGAAACGTAATCGAAGAAAAGGGTAAAATAACGCGATACGGAAACATGCTGAGACCTAATGATTGTGCATTCTGAACAATCTTTATTTACGACGGGAGTTAAGCTTGGCCACATCGGGCCTTTGTGTAACTGGCCATTGCTCGTTAATGCACTCTAGTCGTGATAAGACCTATTTACATTCCAAAGGAAAGTTTGCCGATATTCCTTGGGTGATAAAAAGTATTAATCTGCTAAAGAGTATAAGAGTTCTAATGTACAATTCCATACTTACTGACAATGTAGTTATCTTTGTACCTTGCGCACACTGCACAACTAAGGAAGCAAATATGAAGACACACGAATTTTCTTTAAATATATCAGATACTTTTCTCCGCTGCATTCAGTCTGTCCTTCGCCATCATAAGGATGCGCACAGGATTCTTCATGGGCTCTTTCAGAAACCTTCTCACGAAGTTCAGGTAAATCATCCCAGCAGCCTGGCACAGCAACACAGCGACGAGCAGGGCGAGGCTATGCTCGGAGGGCCGGCAGACGTGACACCAAATGGCCCAACCGCAGCAGACGACGCTCTCGCTCCCTTGGTAGCTCATCTCCAAATTCTTGTCGAAGAAATACCGGTCCACGACGTCGCCCCAAAGACGCACATTCCTTCTGAGATTCTTGTAGACTAACTCCCCGACCAGGGCGAGATATCCCGCTGCTTTGGCGCTCAGGTACAAAATGGCGACGTTGACCAGCCCGTCCATGGCGACGGCACACATCAGAAAGATTCGGCATACTGCAGGTGAAGAAGATTGCTAAACTACCTGACTATCTGATTACTGCCCAAATAATCCCACTGATTCCATAACCAGTACTCTTCCATCAATGCCCCTAACAATCCTGTTAACTCTACAAACTATCACTTTAACTCCATAAACGCATAAAAAAACACCCATATAAAAACCTCTTGCAATGCTTCTTCAGTAATGTAAAATCAGCAAAATCCGCCATTTTATCATCACTGAGTTTTCTTTGTAAATTTGTAATTTCTTAAATCAACCTGGAATCATGTATTTCAATAACAAAAATAAAACAACATAAAAATCCTTTGCAATGCCTTCTCAGATAGAAAGACTTCAACCCTTGATAGTAGAGGTCACTCCAGTCGATGAGCGTATTATGGTATTGAGACTGAAGCTTTCATTTGGCTTCATGTCTCTTATTGCTGTGTACACTCCTACGGATGTATATAAACTTGAGGTGAAAGAGATATTTTGCGCCAAACTTTCATCTGTGACAGACAGCTGTCCTCGACGAGATATTCGTATTGTTCTGGGTGACTTCAATGCGGTATCTAGCTGCGATCGAGCTGGCTACATGTCTGTCGGTCCTCATGGCTCAGGAGCTGATTTTGGCAGCGAGAATAGCCTCCTTTTCCGTGACTATGCTAGGTCCC